CAGAAATGAAAAATATACTCAAATTAAAAATAAATTTTGAAAGGTTCAATGTATGCATGACATAGTCCTATAATAAAAATAGAATGGCAGCCGAAACGGGTTTGGCTCAGTGGATAGAGCATCGGCCTGCGGACTGAAGGGTCCCAGGTTCGATTCCGGTCAAGGGCATGTACCTGGGTTGCGGGCACATCCCCAGTAGGAGATGTGCAGGAGGCAGCTGATCGATGTTTCTCTCTCATCGATGTTTCTAACTCTATCTCTCTCCCTTCCTCTCTGTAAAAAATCAATAAAAAAAATTTTTAAAAAATAGAATGGCAATTAAATAAAAAATAAGTATAATGAAAGCAGATATTTTGGTATTGTTTATAACCTATAGTTGAGTAAGGTAACCTTGTCTTAAAACTCTTCCTGATTTACCTATGTCTATGAGGCAGGAGCTGGAATTTATGTAGGTGCATTTGGGAGCCATATGGACAGTTTCCATTCCATGGAAGTGGACTTTAAGTGATGGGAGAAGAATGAATGTATTACCAACAACACATAAACTCATGATCCTTTGCAAGTGTAATGATAAGCATGTAAATTTTGCACAGTGTGTATTCTGAGAGCTTGAATGTTTTCCCTTATTATCACATCTATGCTAATAATAGACAAATATGTAAATTGATCATCCCTCTGTGATGCTCACAGCCAATCAGGAGTGAGTATGCAAGTTAACCCAACAAAGATGGTGGGCCTGTGGGCAGCTCACACGTGCACAGGCGCCTGGCGGCTGGGGGTTTGGGTGGCTTGGCAGAATGGGAGAGTGGACAAAGAGCGGGTGGCTTGGGAGGCATGGGGGGCTTAGCTTCCTCGGTCACCCCAGCTTACTCATTGCCATCTTGGAGACTGTCAGCAGGGAGGAGGAAGTCCCATTCCCATAGAATCAGCCAGAACCAGCTGTTGATCAGACAGCTCTCTGTGACAGAAGTGGAGACCAAGAGCACAGAGAGCACCAGGAATTCTGGTAATTGTAGTTCTGGTGGCAGACGTGTTGCGGGATCTCTTAGACCAGCAGTTCTCAACCTGTGGGCCGCAACCCCTTTGGCAGTGGAATGACCCTTTCATAAGGGTCGCCTAAGACCATCCTGCATATCAGATAGTTACATTATGATTCATAACAGTAGCAACATTACAATTATGAAGTAGCAACGAAAATAATTTTATGGTTGGGTCACAACATGAGGAACTGTATTTAAAGAGCCAGAAGATTGAGAACCACTGTCTAGACCAGTGATGGCGAACCTTTTGAGCTCAGCGTATCAGCATTTTGAAAAACCCTAACTTAACTCTGGTGCCGTGTCACATATAGAAATTTTTTGATATTTGCAACCATAGTAAAACAAATATTTATATTTTTGGTATTTATTTTATATATTTAAATGCCATTTAACAAAGAAAAATCAACCAAAAAAAATGAGTTTGCGTGTCACCTCTGACACGTGTAAGGTTCGCCATCACTGGTCTAGACACTAGAGCAAAGTGAGCATGGAGCAAGTCACTGTTGCGGGTGGGGGATGGAGGGAAAGCAAAGGTGAGAGACATAAGTAAACTCAGAGTGTTGAGAAAAAATTGAAAGGAAGATATCCTGCTCTGACCGGTTTGGCTCAGTTGATAAAGTGTCGGCCTGTGGACTGAAAGGTCCCAGGTTCAATACTGGTCAGGAGCATATACCTTGATTGCGGGAACATCCCCAGTAGGAGGTTTGCAGGAGGCAGCTGATTGATGTTTCTCTCTCATCGATGTTTCTAACTCTCTATCCCTCTTCCTTTCTCTCTGTAAAAAATCAATAAAATATTTTTTTTTTAAAAGAAGATGTCCTGCAACTTCTAGGAAATCTCCACCAATAGAGCAAAGAAAAAAAAAAGACCTCTATTATTCTGTGAGCATCAAACCAAACTGGGGTGGGGTCTCAGACAATTGGCTCATATGATTGCAAAGACAGACAGAAATTCTGGGATTGGAGAAGGATCCCCTAAGGGCTCCCAGACTGGAGAAGGTGCAGGTCGGGCTAAGGGACCCACCCCTATGCATGAATTTCATGCCCAGGGCTCCTAGTAATACTATAATTGAGTATTCCTCTTCATCCAGACCTGCACCCCAAAACAATTAGATTTATGAAGGTAGGAAGGGACCTTCTTTCTGTGTCAGATTGTTAAAAAATATTGGTATATGGGGAATGATATTTAAATAGAAAGACATACAGTTATTTTGCTATGGACACAATTTTAATTACATTGAACATGCTGACAATAATCATGTTTCTATTCTATTGTTGGTGTTGCTGTCAACATAACTGCTGTGGTCATAAATCAAGCCTGGCTAGTGTGACTCAGTGGTTGAGCATCCACCAAGGAACCAGGAGGTCAGCAGTTTGATTCCAGTCCAGGGCACATGCCTGGATTGTGGGCTTAATCCCCAGTAGGGGGTGTGCAGGGGAAAATATCATTGTTTCTCTCTCATCAATGTTTCTGTCTCTATCTCCCTCTCTTACTTTCTCTCTAAAAATCAATAAATCACATATGAAAAATCAATCAATCAATTGAAATGATATTGTTAGCATTTATGTAAACTCCTTTGACAAATTTTAACCAACAATTCTCACGTGCTGTTGTTCCTAAGATGTATTCAGATACCTACCTCAATGTCTGTTTGTTATCTACACCACCACACTCTAACCACATTACTTCCTGTGCCCTGTGCTATTTTCAGTTCAGGAACAATTAAAAATCATAGATCCAAAGTCAGAGAACTTCTCCAACAGGAGATGTAGGGACTAAACGGAACACAGAGCCCTGAGAAGAATGTATCATTCCCTGGGCCTCAGAACGTAATTTGCTGGGATGTGGACCACAGTACCGTGCTTAGCTCTGGAGATGGACTTTAAGTGATGGGAGAAGGAGCACAGGTCATTCTGGTTTCCTATAGGCCTGGCAAGTTCTGTTTTCCTCACTGTGTCTTTCCACATTAAATTTAATGTCTCAGAGGAAGTTCCCAGGACACCAGCACCACTTCCCCAGCTCTCGCAACCTCTCTTGGGCTTCTGATTCCTCATTTTCCTGATTAATATTTTTATAATCTCTTCACAGACAAGCTCAAAGACATTAGGCCCCACTAGTAGCTGTTATGTTCACATTATGGATTGGTCCCAGGCTTTACAGCTCTAAGCAGCCCTCCCTCAACCTACTCAAAAATGCATACCATATGTTGTGGTTTGAGTTTTGAAAGAAAGGGATTTCTTGGGAGCTAAAAGGTGAAGTCTGATAAAGAGCCAGCTTCCATATCCCTTATTAACCAAAGGATTTTGTTCTTCTCATTGCAAGCTCGGCACCTCATACAACATCTCACAGGGCCTGGGGGGAACACATTAGTTCTCTGGGTCTTAGGATGTGGGCTCAGATCAGAGATTCAAAGGGAGGCAAGAGTAATATGATGAATATGGGATTTGTGGGAGGCACACATCCTACCCTGTCCATGTGCAGTCCACATAAAAACACTGCATGTGTGGAGCCCTCCACTCCGCTTCATTTGTCAACAAGTTTGTAGATTAAATGTAGCCCTCACCAAAAATTACTCTCCTGTATATCTCTGCATTTACCACCAGACCCCAAATCGTCCTGTTCTCTTTTATCCACTGTGAGAATGGAAAGTGGGACAAACACTTGACAAAAAATCTGGCTGTTCGTTATGGCATAAGATACATTGAACCTAAAAACCAATAAATCTACGTATACTACTTAATTATGAGCATGAAATTGTCCGTTATTTCAGAAGACTGACTGGGATCCCACCAAGGCCTGCGTGCACATTCACTGCAGATTCAACTCCCTGCCCTTTGACTGCGGGGAGGGGAGGAAGAATAGGCTTGTTTTCAGGTCTGGGGACTGCCCTAGGCTGTAAGCCCACTGGAGAGTGAGGCCAATAAGGAGAAAACAATAAAAAAGAAAAAAAAAAGTATGCCTGGTGTGTGTGTGTGTGTGTGTGTGTGTGTGTGTGTGTGTACCAGAGGCAGATCTTAAGCAGTCTTGACAGTGGTGTCAAAGACCTGAAAAATGTGGTATCTAAACATTCAGGTCTTTCTTTCCTTGGAACTAAGGACTTTATTCTGAACTGGAGGACCAGAATTCCAATAACTGAAAACTCCAGGAGTTGATTTGTCAATAATTGAGGAGTATTGCTAATAAGTCATAGCCCCATGCATCATAGCAACAGAGAGTAAGGAAGGCAGAGGTCAAAGGGAAAATTTAGATCAATTTCACACACACACACCACACACACACACACACACACACACACACACACACACAAACACACACATTGTAATATCCACCTTGCAATCCCTATTACATCAAAGATATTCCAAAATGAGATATTTAGATATCCCTGTGGCCATGGAGAGATGAGAGCAGATAATAATTGACAAGAGAGCCCATTTAATTGATTAGTTAATTCATTAATGTATTTATTTTAACTTTTATGTCTTTGAGGACAGATTTGGGAATAAAAATTTCAAAAGACAAGAACATGGTGTGAATATTCATTGCCGAAATCATGCATCTATCTCTTTGGAGAACTGGCTTTTCTCCTGTTCCTGAAAACTTGAACCTCACTGCAAAAGTAAGGCTGAACTGGAAAACAAAACCCCGTTAAGAAATCCCACAATTGTACTTCTTAAATCATTTCTGTGAATAATAACTTTTTTTATTAAAATTAATTTTTTAGCATTGACATTGTTACAGATAGACAGCCCCCTGTAACCTCCTTTTTCCCACATTAACCTTCTCCCACACCCCCCTCCCTTGGTCTTCACAAGTCTATTGTCCATGCCCATGGGGTATGCATATATGCTCTTTAGCTAACACCCTTACCTTCTTTATCAAGTCACCCCTCACCCACCTCCCCTCAGATACTGTCCAGTCTGTTCCTTGTTTCTGGTTCCATTTTGTTCATCAGATTATTTTGTTCATTAGATTTCACAATTCTTTCACCAAGTTATTTTTATTTCTTAATCAAAGCAAGAATAGTAAAGTTGAAAGAAAACTAATATGTATTCTTAAAATCATTTATTTCAGTCACAGTGAGAGGCAAACAAAAATGAATCAACAGTATACTTGATGACTAATTATGTGCTAGCCATGAAAGAAATTATTGAAAATATTCCACGGTTTAATTTTCACAATAATGCATCAGGTAAATTTCATATTATTTTATAAATGTGAAACTGAATTGTGTACAATTTAGATTATTTGATCAAGGCTAATATGCAGTAACACCAGACTTATAATAATAAAATTTTCACTCGCACACACAGTCTTGTCTAACACTGGCAGAGCTGCAGTACTCTAGACAACAGCACAGAGATACCTGGGATCTGAAACATGAGACTTTGGTAAAAACTGCCCTTGTGCCCCTGAAAGCAAAACTATCTCGTGACACACTGACACCGCTTAGATTTCTCAGTAATTAGTGGAGAAATATTTATTCAGTTGAGACACTTACATGTTATATACTTAATGACATTTTTCTTCTCACAGTGATACTAACTATGATATGGTTTTATTACCAGGATTATTAAAAGAAAACAAATTGGCATTCAGGTATTTTATTCAAAATTCACTGTGCATATTAGGAGAAATTGGACGTGAACTCAGAAATGAGGACACAGAACTTACACTCTTAGTACATATTATTTATGATATTTTCTTGTTGGCTGGTTGCTGTTGCTCAGTGGTTGAGCATCGACCCGTGCACCAAGAGGTCGCTGGTGCCATTCCCAGTCAGGGCACATTTCCTGGACACAAGGTCAATCCCCAGTAGGCGACATGCAAGAGGCAGCCCTTTAATGTTTTTCTCTCATCAACGTTTCTATCTCTCTCAAACCTCTCCCTTCCTCTCTCTCTAAGAAATCAATTACAAACCCATATTTAATATTTTCTTCTTCACTCCTTGATGAATAACAAACATCATGGGTAAACAGACAGACCTCTGAAAATTCATTCTGTAGTGAATGACTTCTATTCAAGCCTTCAATAAAAGTTGTTGAAAAGCTTTCCTTCATCTTCTCAGTCAAGGGCAGAGGACATGGGATTGTAGAATTTGGTAGAGATGTTACCTCCATACATGTCTTTTTTTATGAGGCATTAGTCATTTTCCTTGAGATGATAAAACTGATGAAAGGATTCTCTATGAATGCAAATAATATTTTGGGAGAAATATGGCACGAGGCAAATTTTACACCCTATTGATGAATGAAGCGTGTTCAGATGGGAGAAAACAAGTGCGGAAAAGATGGTGAGAACAGTGCAGGTTAGCTCAGCTCATTAGATGCACCCATGGCAACAGGCACTCCAGAGAAGTGGGTGAGGGTGTAAGAGGTTTAAGAGCTTGGAGAACACAGTGTCATGGAGACAGGGCAGTTCATAGGATTGAAATACGGAAACATTTTCTGAGAAAAGGAACATGAAGAGAATTTATAGATGAGAAGCCTATCGTTAGTGACGTTAAAAAATGAGACAGTGCCAGCATCATAGTCTAGGAAAACCCCAACACGACAGGGAGGAACACTCAGGAACAGGGTTACGGTCCTGGAGTCAGAGGAGGCAGAATCCACAAAAGCCTTATATTCAGAATGGTTCTCCAGCCCTATAACCCAGTAGCCATATTTAGGTTGAAATATAGAGCAAACAGATTGACTATCTTTAATTTGTCTTATAAAATCCATCCTATTGGAGTCAGGGTATTTTCCTCCATATACCCCCATAATCCAGGCACGTTTCTGTGACACATCCACCTCCCAGTAATGCTTCCCTGATGTGATAGAAGGTGATCCCAGGACACCAAAATTTATTCTATGAAAAAGGATAAACCAACGTCTAGGTCTCACTTGTCTCCGATCCTCAGAAATGACAATATTTGATTTATCCGTGGGAGGATCCAGGGTCACGTGTACTGTAGAAAAATTACAGGGTTGGGTGAGGAATCTGACATACTTTATTTGTGACATTGTAAGGCAGATATTGAGAATAAAATGAGTGGGAAATGGGAAGCATTCGATTTGGTTCTTGAGGAGCAGTACACACTGTAGAACTATAATATGTATGTGGGTGTTGGGAGGGGAAAACCTGGGTCTTTATACTAGAGACCTAGCAGAAAATGCAAAATTCTAAAAGAAAATGAGGACAAGGTGACTTTGTGATATTGTGATTTCTCCTTACCCCAGTAGCGTCGCACATCTGTGAGTTCTGAAAATAGAAAAATCCATAACATCAAATATAGGCAAAATATTCTGCATCAACATCTATTTTCTCCCCATATCAGGGAAAGACTGGGGTTTATGTAAGTCAGTACATGGAATAGGGGTGAAGAAGACAATTGACCACTCCCCATTGAATATGCTCTTATAACCAGCATGTAATATTCGTCTTCCTTTTTCTCTTCTAGCTACACCTAAAACCTGAACTTTAACCCCAACCATAACAAAAATCTGACAGCAACCCATTGCTCTGGCATTCCTCACCATTTAACATTTGTTGCATCCCTCCCAGGTAAGGAGCTTGGAGCACTCTCCTTTGCTTCATGGGGAGAGTTTTTGGCTTCTTCAGAGTGAAGGTCTTACTCCTAGAGATAACAAAATAGATCCACACACCTCTGAATTTTTGTCTCTCCAAAACCACTGACTTTATCTACTCACCGCAAGGAGTACTTGAGCCCCCATTCATGGACTCCTGAGAAAGGAGAGAGTAGACTTCTGACCTTGGCACCAGAAGAAATGTGCTCAATCCACTTTCCCAGTTGACTGCTGTCTGTCCTTGTAAAGGCGCTGACCTCTCAGAAGTAGTTTATTCCTTTCACAATGATAACTATCCTCTCACTTTCTAACTCATAAAAATCATATAAAATTATGTGCCATAGTGAATTTCTTTAAAATGAAAAATTTGGTACCCTGAAATAAATTAGTATAAGGAAATGTCATGCCATGGATGTAGATTCCCAGCAATATGACAAGAACGTGAGGATACAGAACATGGATCCTTATGTTTGAGATATATCAAGTGTGGGAATACTGTCTGGGAAGAACCAAGACCTTTCAATTCCACCGCCCAGTAGGAGGCCTCCAGAACTACATCTGAGATTTCAGGTTCTCTGAGAAAAAATATAACACTTGGAAAGGAAGATATTATGAATGCTATACTACTAGTGGTCTGAATTTCATGTGTTTGGAATAGATTAATGCAGTCAGGTAGGTGTTAAAATTTAGACACAAAGATGCTGCCCTTCCATTCGGATTTCAAAAGTGCATGACCAAGATGGATCAACTGTTTTTCCCAGGGTCAAAATATTCCTTAATATTCAAGTCAGCCTTTGGAAAATAAAGAGAACCATATCTTCTATTCAGAGAGCAGAAATTTAAATATAAAGGAGTTGTCTCAAATTCTGAGTGCTTAGGAGGTAAAGACGACATGACATTCCCACAGTCAATACATCACCTGTTACATGTGAAAATCTGATTTAGATACAGGCATGCTGAATGCATCGAATTTATGAAGTCAGATGGGTCTGATACTGCAACATCTTATGTTTAATTGCTACTAACCCAAACTTTGCAACTCGCCTCAACTAAATTGCCTACATAAAATCTGGTTCATTGTAAACAGGTATACAATACACAAGCCATATGTGAACAGAAATTTAAGATAAAACTACATCAAATGTTTCTGCCCTGAGCAATATTTTATTCTTATTAATCACCAGGTATCATTAATGTCTTTAAACACTTTTTACAGCACAAAAAGACCATCTCTGGTCTTCCATACATACCTTTCCATAATGCCTTTCACATCCTAAGAAGGAAAGAGACACTATAAGTCATGAAGTAATAAGCTCTTTCACTAACAAAACTTCAACACATCTCCCCTCTCCACCCACCTGACCTGGTGGGAATAGAGATGGTCCGAATGTGAGAGCAGGTTAATATAATGCCTAGTAAAGAAGCCACAGGAACCAGTAACTTAGGATATTTACTATGTATATTACTTTTCAACAAACAAATTACCTCCTCTTTTATACACCTTCGTCCATGTTACCAATATCCACTTGGTCACTATTCTAAACACTACAATATTTACTGTGTTTCAGGGTCTAAAATATTTATTCCATATTGTTAACTATTTTCAGTCATCTGGCCTTGTTTCTCATCACAGGTTTCTCCTTGTTACATCCTCTTTCTAAAATCAATAAACACATATTTTTTTTAAAGTCACCACAAGGCTGGTAGGAGGGAAATGAAACTGGCTGGTACCACACCCACAGGTGTAAATTATGAAATGGGACCCCCAACTCAGCCTGAGAGGCAATCCCACACACTGATGTGCCAATGGCAATCAAGGCTCAACTACAACAAGAAAGCACCCACAACCCAAACATTAGACACCCCTAGAGAACCTGGTTCAGATGAATACAAGCTGCAACACTGGGCCCCAGGGGAAGCCTGCTACCTAAGGCCACTCTGCCAAGGTTGGGAGATGTGGCAGATATACCAAACACAGAAATAAACATAGAAAGGCAGCCAAATGAGGAGACAGAGAAACATGTCCCTGATGAAAGATCAGGACAAAATTTCAGAAAAATAACTAAATAAAATGGAGGCAAGCAATCTACCAAATGCAGAATTCTAAACACTGGTTATAAGGATGCTCAATGAACTTAGGGAAAGAATAGATTATCTGACTGAGAACTTCAACAAAGAGAGAAAAAACATAGAAAGGAGATAGAAAGCATAAAAAACATCCAGTGAGAAATGCAAAATACAAAGAAAAAAGTCTTAAAAATAGCAGGAGAAAAGCAGTTAGTTACCGATAAGGGGGCTCCGTAAGTATCCCAACTAATTCCTCAACTCAAACTTTGCTGGCCAGGAGGGAGTGACATGATATATTCAAAGTGATGGAAAGCAAAGACCTACAACCTAGATTATTCTACCCAGCAAGGCTATTTATTATTATTATTATTATTATTATTATTATTAATATTAGCAAGGCTATTATTTAAAATTGAAGGAGACATAAAGAGCTTCCTAGATAAGAAAAAGCTCAAGGAGATAATCACCACCAAATCAGTATTATAAGAAAGGTTAAAGAGACTTAAGAAAAAGAGAAAATATAAAACAAAAATGTAAATAGGAAAGTCATCGTGATGTAGAAGACATGACCAACATTGTCAACCAGCCCCACTTAACAACTAAAGACCCTTTCACCCAATCAATACACACTTCAAATTATTTTCAAATTCACATAAACAATATGGACATACAATATTTTAGTAGAAAAAGCAAGTCAACACATCTATAAATTTGAAATAATAAAACATATGTTTCTGATTAGAAAGGAATTAAATTCAAAATACACAGCAGAAAAAAAAGTAAAAGATCACCAGGTGTTTGTACATTAAACAACACCATTTCAAATATTTCAAAGGTTAAGAGAAAAAAAACAAAGAAAATTTGAAAAAAAGTTAAATTGATTCAAAATAACAGGGACTAGAAGGTGGAGCTCAGTGCTTAAGGACTGACCTATGAACCAGGAGGTCAAGGTTCAATTCCCAGTCAGAGCACACACCAGGGTTGCAGGCTCCATCTCCAGTAGGGGGCATGCAAGTGATAGCTGATCAATGATTGTCTCTCATCATTGATGCTTTTATCTCTCTCTCTCTCCCTCTCACTTTCTCTCTGAAATCAATAAAAAGCAAACAAATAAATAAATAATCCAAAAGTATGGAATATAGCTAAAACAATGCATTTATAACATTAAAAACTGTAAGAGAAGAGACGGTGAAGTCAGTGGTCAAAATTCCTACTTTAAGCCTTGGGTGGTATAGCTCAGTGGTGAAAGTGTCGTCCCCAAAACCAAAGACTCCCACATTCAATTTCTGGTGAAGGGCATGTACCTGTGTTGCAGGTTTGATCCCTGGCCTCCTTTGGGGTGTGTGCCAGAGGCATCCAATGAATGTGCCTCCCTCACTTGATGTTTCTCTCTCTCTCTCTCTCTCTCCCCCTCTCTCTCTCTCTCTCTTTCTCCCTCTCTCCCTCCCTTCCTCCTTATCTGCTTCCCTCCCTCCCTTTCATTCTCTCTAAACTCTAAAAATCAATGGAAAAAATATCCCAGGGTGAGGATTAACAAAATAAACAAAAAATTCTCACTCTAATAAACTAGAAAAATAACAAAAAAATTAAATACAATGTACACACAGAAACACATCACACTCTGATTTATGAATGTGCATTTACATATACACACACAAAGAAAACTATATAAGTGAGAGCAGAAACCTGTGATATAGAAAGGTTAAAAATAATAAATAAATAAATAAATAAATAAATAAATAAATAAATAAAATTTATTCTTAAAAAACATCAGCCCTTACTGGTTTGGCTTAGTGGATAGAGCGTCAGCCTGCGGACTGAAGGATCCCAGGTTTGATTCTGGTCAAGGGCATTTACCTTGGTTGCAGGCACATCCCCAGTAGGGGGTGTGCAGGAGGCAGCTGATCGATGTTTCTCTCCCATCAATGTTTCTAACTCTCTATCCCCCTCCCTTCCTCTCTGTAAAAAAATCAATAAAATATATTTTTTAAAAAAGAAAAGAAGATTAAAAAAAAAAAACATCAATGAGCCCTGGGTGGTTTGGCTCACTGGGTGGAGCATTGCCCTGTGGCCTGAAGGGTCACAATTCAATTCCGGTCAAAGGCATATGCCCACGTGGTAGGATTGATCCCCAGTAGGGGTCTGCAGGAGGCAGTCGATCAATGATTCTCTCTTATCATTGATGTTTCTATCTCTCTCTCCTTCTGCCTTCCTCTCTAAAATCAATAAAAATATATTAAAAAACAAACAAACAAAAATCAATGACCTTGACCAATGATAACTAACTTGGCCAAAAATAATCACAAAATCAGGAAGAAAAGGAGCCATTACTGTTAGCATTGTAGAAATGAAAAATATTCTAATAAATTATAATGATTAATTTCATGCTTATGAATCTGACAATTTAAAATGGACAAATTTCTATAAAGATGGACATTATCCAGAACTGACTCAAGAAATATAAAAAACAAACAAACTGAGAAATACTAATACAAGTTAAAAAAAATATTTTAAACCTTTTGAAAAAACATAAAGGCCCAGAGTGACATGGTTTCACTGGTGAATCTATTGAATAATTAAAAAATAAATAATGCCAATTCATCACCATTGTTTATTCAGAAAATTCAGAAAGAACAGAAGAATTTCAACTTATTCTAAAAAGAAAAACAACAATTCTTGGATCACGAAGAGATACCTGAATAAAGTTCTAGGCTAGATCACAGACACAGGGGCCTACAGAATACAAGGAATCTTCTCTTCACAGTCAATTTTGTACTTTCATTGATACATTAATAAGAACCAGATTTGTCCCTGTTGTTCATGCATTCAACAATTTCAATAACCTCTGAAACAGATACAGGGAAGGGTCACTG